GCCTCTCTTGTTACCCACCCTCGTGCCTCTGTGTCCTCTGTGTCCGCTCTTACTGCCGCAGTCACTGAGTTTGCCTCTACCCGCCGCCTTGACTTCGCCACCGCTCTTGTGGCTGCTCCTCCTTCCAGTCCTCTGGCCGTCGGGGGTGTGTCTGCCCTTGGCAGTGACGCCCTAGAGGACAGGCAGTTTGAGCTAGAGTTCCTGGCCGCCGCTTCCCCTCATCTCTGTGCCATGCTCCTCGCCCCTGAGGGTGACCCCGACGCCCTTGACATTCCGACTCCTCGCACTTACGCTGAGGCAGTGTCAGGGCCTTGGGCCTCTCAGTGGAGAGCTGCCATGGACGCAGAGATGGCCTCCTACAGATCCACAGGCACCTACGTCGATGAGGTTCCCCCTCCGGGGGCGAACGTAGTTGACGGCATGTGGATCTACAGGGTGAAGCGGCCACCGGGATCTCCTCCGGTCTTCAAGGCGCGCTACGTGGCTAGAGGTTTCAGTCAGCGCGAGGGAGTTGACTTCTTTCAGACCTTCTCCCCCACTCCGAAGATGACCACTCTTCGGGTGTTACTACACGTAGCAGCACAGAGAGACTACGAGTTACACTCTCTCGACTTCTCTACTGCTTTCCTTCAGGGCAGTCTTCACGAGGAGGTCTGGTTGCGTCGTCCCTCTGCCTTCACTGGCTCTTTCCCTCCTGGGACCCAGTGGAGGCTGAGGCGACCGGTTTACGGTCTTCGTCAGGCTCCTCGTGAGTGGCACGACACCCTGCGTTCTACCCTGTCTGACCTTGGGTTCCAGCCGTCTTCTGCTGACCCGTCGCTGTTCGTTCGTCGTGGCCCCACACCTTTCTTTGTTCTGGTCTACGTTGACGACCTTGTTTTCGCCACCCCTGACAGGGTTGCTTTGGCACACGTGAAGTCCGAACTGCAGAAGAGACACACCTGCACTGATCTTGGTGAGCTGCGCCACTACCTTGGCCTGCAGATCACCAGGGACAGAGCTGCTCGCACCATTACACTTTCACAGTCGCACATGGTGCAGCAGGTCCTTCAGCGGTTCGGGCTTCAGCACTCCACAGTACAGCGCACACCTCTTGCTGTTGACCACAGACTCACTGGACCCTTTCCTGACGAGCCGTTCGAGCCTAGTGGTCCCTACGCAGAGCTTGTGGGTTGCCTCATGTACCTGATGACTTGTACTCGCCCGGACCTCGCCTTCCCTCTCAGCGTTCTTGCGCGCTTTGTTGCGCCAGGGAGACACCGTCCTGTTCACTGGACAGCAGCTGTGAGGGTGGCGAAGTACCTAGCGTCGACGTCAGGCGTGGGGCTAGTTCTTGGAGGGCAGCAGTCTGTCGTACTTACTGGTCACTGTGACTCCTCTTACGCTGACGACGCTGAGACTCACAGGTCTACTCAGGGGTACTGTTTCAGCCTAGGTTCTGGAGCTGTTTCCTGGCGGTCCACGCGCTCCTCTTCGGTCTCGACCTCTACAGCTGAGGCTGAGATCTACGCTGGTGCCATGGCGGCACAGGAGCTGCGTTGGTTGACCTTCTTGCTCACCGACCTTGGTGAGCGGCCGAGCTCTGCACCGACCTTGTTCACTGACAACAAGGCGTCTATTCTCCTTTGTCGAGAGCCACGACTGGAGAGCAGAGTGAAGCACATTCACGTCAGGTACTTTCTTCTGCGAGAGTTGCAGAGGCGTGGACAGGCTCGCTTTGAGTTTGTGGAGTCCGAGGCCAACACTGCAGACATCTTCACCAAGGCGCTTCCGCCTTGTGACCACCAGAGGTGCTGTGTGCAGTTAGGCCTTGTTGACACTGGTTCTCGTGTTGCTTAGACCTGAGTGTACTGTTTACTTTGCTTTCTATATACCTCTGTTACTTCTTGGACTGGCCTTGTGGCCACTGTTGTTTGTGCTCAGACTGTGTGGTGACGTTGTGATCCACCCTGAGCTTCGTTTCTTGGACTGGTCTTGTGACCGTACTCGTTTGGTTCTGCTAGACACCCCTCACTTAGGCTATGGGGGTGTGTCAAATGTTGTAGCCTATAGTGAGGTTTGTCTTAGGGGGTACAAAACTTAGGGTTAGCTATATGTACCCCAACCAACATCAATGCATCATCCATTCTTCATTTCGACATATGTATCTAGGCATGAGTCGCGAGTACGTTTAGGCGAGGAAGAGCCGCGAGTTGGCCAAAAGAAGGTCTACAATATAGAGCGAGCAGTACAAATTGGCATGAAGAATAAAGAAGGTGCACCGTGGAAACCTGATTTTCCAGGTTTTTACCTACGGTAAGCTAAATGGTGATGGATAAAATAAAATTGTTGGTGGAAAGCAACCGCTTTCACTGGAATGTGCAGATGCATGAGAACCATGGGATTCGATAACTCCTTAGCGAGAACAAGGAGACTCCAGGTCCACAGCTCACATCGCCCAAAGCCCTCCCATCCATGAGTTCCGCACAAGGCGCTTCTTATTATCCGACGACGCTTGTATCGAGCTTTGATTGAAATCCGTTACGCTGTTTTTCTCCTTTCTCTCTCTGTGACCGTTACGCTCCTCCGCCCTTCTCCCCGCCAATCAAGACCCAGTTTCCGGGTCGGTTTCTGACGCCAGCATTTGCTCGCGACCATGCTGTTCGCGCGACTCGATGACTCTCCTATGTTTCGACGGCAGGTCCGTGCAGCGAGGCATTATTCGTGTCATCGTCTGTATGTGCTTATCTGAACTTCATGCCAGTTAGCGCGCTGTCCTGGACGGTGTCAGGTTAGTGCACGTCCGACGAGCCGTCAGGCTGGGCGATTTCCTTCCCTCAGTCGTCGCACCCATTTTCCACCGGGCTTCCATTGTCCCTATTGTTTCGCATGCCTTATTTCCGCATCTTGGACTTAACCTTTGCTGTCTCCAACCTGACACATCTCACTGTGTCACCTCGCTCGTCTCGTTCCGCTCTCACCGCCCGCCCGCGCGAATCGCCATGGCCGCCGCGCGCGGTGACGCGGTTGTGCGGCGCAGCTGCAGGCGCTGGAGGAGAGCGCGGAGGTGCTGCGGGAGCGGTGCAACAAGCTGCACAAGAGCTGCCGCAAGTACAGGTGCCGCCTCTGCTGCCATGCCCGCCCTGCCCCTCGCTCTCACTGCTTCGCACTCCCTCCGTGCTTTCCCCGCGTGATTGCTCACCGGTCGCAACAGTATTCTAATATCTTGTGTGCCAATGCCGCTTTCCCATCTTGGATCCCCGCTTTTACCTGCCTCCTCATTCCACTGTCTCTTCATCCCCCCCTTACCCTAGTGTGTGTCCTATGCCATGCCATGGTTAACACAACACAATTCATCGCTCTGTACGGCATGTGCCATGGCATGGCATGGCATGGGCGGTGATGCTGGCATGGCACTGCATGGCACTGCATGGCATGGCATGGCATGGCATGGCATGGCATGGCATGGCATGGCATGGCATGGCATGGCATATGAGCAGTGACAGCATGGTGGAGGCGAGGGACGCAGAGCTGGCGTTTGCGAATGCAATAGACGGCTTCGCCAGCAGCCACGAGGACTCGCTCAGTGTGTCCATAGGAGGTGCGCTGCTCCATGTGTGCTGCCTGCCTGCTCTCATCTCTGCCTCTGGGAGGCTTGCTGCACGAGCCAACAGCGCCTTGGCACTCATGTTTGCCAAGTTATTTGTGCGCCGGTTCTACCCTGACCTCATTCTCCGCATTCTGTCCCCGTTGTGCCTGCATGTGTGCGTGTCCATGTGTGTGTGTGCATGTGTGCGTGGCTGCATGTGTGCATGTGTGCATGTGTGTATTGTGCATGTGTGCATGGCTGCATGTGTGTGGGTCTGCATGGCTGCAGGGCCGGTGCTAACGCCATTCATAGACACACTGAAGGAGCTCAGGTCACACAAGGACATTCTCAAATCACAGGTTTTCCACCCCACGCCTGCTGCTCGCCTTTTCCTTCCCCGCTCCTAAAGCCTCTCCCTCGCTCTCATTTCTTCTTGGTCCGTCCCTCTTTCTCATTTCCTCTCACCAATCGCCCCCACGTGTGTGTGTGTGTGTGGTGTGTGTGTGTGTGTGTGTGTGTGTGTGTGTGTGTGTGTGTGTGTGTGTGTGTGTGTGTGTGTGTGTGTGTGTGTGTGTGTGTGTGTGCATGCGTGCGTGCGTGCGTGCGTGCGTGCGTGCGTGCGTGCGTGCGTGCGTGTGTGCGTGCGTGTGCATGTGTGTGAGTGCATGGGAGGCCATGTGAGGGCAGGTGGAGCACATGCTGATAGACCGTCTGGCCAAGTTCAAGGACACGGACCTGCACAATCTCAAGGTCGCCATGCTGCTGCCACTGCCTCACACACACGCACTGCCGCCCGCGCGCCTCATGCTCTGCGTGCACACAACCACACACACTCACGCAGCCTCTCTTTAACGCCCTCGTTCTTCCCTGCTGTCCCGCTCGTGACCAGCTTGTCCCCCTTCCACCCTTCCGTCCCCTCCTGTCATCCCGACTGCCTCCTCCCAGCCTTTCTGGACTCATCCCACTCATGTGACGAACCGTTCTCTGTTTCTTGCTCCTTGTGCTCCCTGTGCCAGGAGGTGCGCAAGCGCTTTGACAAGGCCAGCCAGCAATACGACCAGGTGTGTGTGGGGGGGGGGGGGGGGGAACGGGGGGAGGGGGATTGTGTGGGTGTGTATGGGGTTGTGGGGGTGTGAAGGTGTGGGGGTTGTGAGGGGTGCGGAAGTGTGGATGTGTTGTGGTTTCTTCAATGAATTTTGCAATGCAACTCCAGCTCTTACCATGATGGCAGCACGAATGACCTAGGTGCTGCCATTGGGATCCTCCAATCACTTGTATCCCTCGCCTTCACTGCATGTTGCTGTGCCATCACCCTCACTACCTCTCCACACCTGCAAAACCCTCCTCTGCTACACTCACCCTTCTCTCTCCCCCACTACCCCACTCTGCCCCATGGCCTGTGCGGGGGCAGATGAGGGAGCGGTTTCTATCAATGAAGAAGGACACGCGCGCGGAAGTCATGGGAGAGGCGGAGGACGACTTTCAGACCGCCAGGATGCACTACGAGAAGGCCCGATTCGCCCTCGTACGCCCGCCCTGCTTGCGCCCCCTCTGCCTCCCGCCCTTACCTTGTGCCGCTTGCTGCATGCTCACACAATTGGCCTTGCGTGCGAGAGGGACCTGGTGTGATGTAGTCTAGCTGTGCACGCTGTGTGCATTACTGGAAAGTGCAGGGATGGGAGGGTGTATGGGAGCATGAGCTGCCGCTGCAATGATTGTGTATCCATGGTGCTGTGGGCGTTACACTTCCACGCCCCCATGCTCCCCTGCGCTAACTGCTCGTCCCGGCTAAGCCAATGGCACGTCACATCACATACGTTTCCACCCCTCCCATCCCTTCCGCGTGTCCCAACGCATGGTATGGCATGGCAGGTGGCAGCGCTGTCGAGCATAGACTCGAGGAAGAAGTACGAGTTCATCGAGTCCATTGCCTCCACCATGGACGCCCACCTGCGCTTCTACAAACAGGTGCCTCTGCCCTCCACACCGCTCTCTCTCATCTCTGTGCCCTGTGGTCACTGGGCATGTATTTGTGTGTGACATGTGCGTGAATCGTGTATGGTGTGAATGTGGGCCTGCGTGGTGCATGCGCGGTGTACATTTGTGACACTGCGCATCTGCCTGGTGCATAGCATACAACGTGCCAGCAGCGCTAGCACACGCTTCTCCACTTACTCATCCCCCCTCCCCTCCCCATCTCCCCCCCACGCACTTTCCATCCATTGGCTCCGCCTTACCTTACCCTGCATCATTCACTCTCGCTCCTCAGAGGTGCTCGTGGCCAGACTTGTTAACTCCCACTTTCCCCTCCCGCTCCCCCCCCCATCCCATGCGCCATGGCATGGGAGGCAGAGCTACGAGGTGCTGCATGCACTGGAACCTTACATCCACCAGGTATGCGCGCCCTCACATCCCCACAAACCTCGCACACACACCTCTCACAATTGCATCGCTCAGGTGTGCACATGTGCACGCAGTCACCACCCTCACGTTCCACCCCTCGTCCTCCTCTCTTGCAAGACACCACCACCATCTCCCTGCGCCCATCCCCCTGCGCCCATTCCCCCGTGCTCCTCCTCTCCAGGTGCTGACATACGCGCAGCAGGCGCGGGAGCACGGGAACCAGGAGCAGGCGGTGCTGGGGGAGCGCATGGGCGAGTACCAGCGCGACAAGGAGATGGAGCTCGCGCGCGGGGACGAGAGCGCGCAGGCCGCTGAGCGGATCGGCGCGGGGGGCGCCGGGGGAGGGCCGTACCAGGCGCTGCTGGGGGCTGGTGGCAGCAACTCGCTGCACAAGGCCATTGAGCAGCTCATGGCGTCCACTCCCAAGGGCAAGGTGCACGCTGGGTGTGCGCTGGGTGCGTGCTGGGTGTGGGAAGGTGTGGGAAGGGAAGGCATGTGTGGCAAGGTGAGGGAAGGTGCTTGGAAGGGGGAGGGAGGTGGAGTGGGGTTTGGACACGCTCATGCAGTGCAGTGAAGAGCAGTGCAGAGCAGGCTCATGCGTGAGTCCCCGTGTGAATGCCCCCACAAGTGTGTGCTTGTGCCGGACGTGTACTCCATTGTATCATTTATGAGGAGAAATCTCAAGCCTTGTGTTTGTGTCAACGGTGTGTTGCTGCTGCTATTGCTGCTGCGCGCGTGTGATGCGGTGTGCGTATGGTGAGTGCATGAGTGGGTGGGTGCGAGCAGGTGCAAGTGATCAAGCAGGGCTATCTGCTCAAGCGTTCTTCCAACCTGAGAGCGGACTGGAAGCGCCGCTTCTTTGTGCTCGACTCACGGGGCATGCTCTACTACTACCGCAAGCAGCAGCCCAAACCCTCCGTACGCGCACCCACCCTCCTCACATCCCATACCCCTGTAACCACCCTGGGTGACCATTCCCTGCTTCTTGTCTGTCTCTTTGTCGCTCTGCCAAACGCCATCCACCCATCTCGGTCGAATCGCCCATTCCCACACACGTACCCCCACCACCCCCACCACCCCTAATCCCCCCTACTTCCCCCCATCCCTCCCCTCCTCCCCCCCATCCTCCCCCACCCCTCCCACCGGCGGCCAGCAGGGCATGTTTCAGCTGCAGGGTCTGCTGCACGCGCGCTCCTCTACGCCCGACTCCAACCCCAGCCCGGGCATGCCCCCGCTCTCCATCTTCTCCCGCATGCTCGCCCGCGACCGCGACGGCCCTAATACTGGCGGCGCCGGGGGCAGCAGCAGCAGCAGTGGTGCAGGCGGGCAGGGGGGAGTGCGGTCAGCAAGCTTTGGCAGTCTCATAGGGGACGCGCCCTTGTCGCTGGAAGGCTTGCTTGGGGCCGGGGCAACATCAGGTTTCTCCCTGCGCCCCTCCCACTCCGCCTCCAATTCCAACTCCTCCACCCCGGCCTCCTCCCCTCCCCGTGACTTCGGCGGCTACGTCTCCTCACTCCCCCCTTCCATCTCCCAGGCAGGAGGCGGGGGAGACGATGGGGGCGGGGGAGGGGGCGGGGGGGGCGGGGGAGGGTCGGTGTCGAATCATGTGCTGAACCTGCTGACAGCGACGATCAAGATGGACGCGGAGCAGTCGGACCTGCGGTTCTGCTTCCGGATCATATCGCCCGTCAAGACGTACACGCTACAGGCGGAGAACGGTGCGGAGCGCAGCGAGTGGATGGATACCATCACTGCTGTCATCGCCACCCTGCTCAACCAGCAGCTCTCCAACCCGGTACCTCCCACCCGCATCTCGCTGCACCACACCGCACCTTCCTTCACTGCAGCACACGTCACACATCCTCTCTTCACTGCACATCACCCTACTTCCTTGCATCTCACTTGACATTATTCTGTCAAGGCTGCATCGTTCTGTTGGCACCCACTCGCTTCAGCTTTCCGTCCCCCTCCAGCTGCTCCACTCCCCTGCTCTCACCTCTCCTCACACCTCATCTCCCTTAACCCATCCGCACCAGGCGCCGTCCTCCTCGCTCACCACTGGCAGCTCGCACCTATCCAGCGACCCCTCGTCCTCATGGCAGCACACACGCCCATCAGACGGCTCTGCAACCGACACATCCTCTTCCTGTGCCACGGCAGCAGCGCACGTGGACCGGCCTCTGCAGCTGCTGGCGCACGTGGCGGGCAACCGCTGCTGTGTGGACTGCGGGGCACCTGACCCTGACTGGGCATCACTCAACCTGGGCGTCCTCATGTGCATTGAGTGCTCCGGCGTGCACCGGAACCTGGGCGTGCATATCAGCAAGGTGCGTGCGCTCACAAACGAAGTGGCTGTCACTCTCCTTTCACTTATGGGAAATGCTCCCACCTCAGCCGCAACTTGTCAATCTTCCCTTCCTTGCTCCCTTCTCCCTGCAAACCCTTCCCCACCCCTTTGCCTCCATCAGGTGCGGTCACTGACTCTGGATGTGCGGGTGTGGGAGCCGCCAGTGATTGCACTGTTCAAGGCGCTGGGGAACGAGTTTGCCAACACGGTGTGGGAGGAGACATTGCAGCGCCACAGTTCATGTGAGGCAGAGGCAGGGGAGCAAAGCGAGAGTGCAGATTCCAGTGTGGAAGCACCGGCAGGTTCCACAGGGCGTGCAGCAGCGCAAGTCCAGGCCGGCCTCAGTGCCACCAATTCCTCCTCCTCGTGTGCAGCAGAAGCAGGGAAGCCGTCCCCTGGTGATTCTGTGGCTGTAAAGGAGCGGTTCATCCAGGCTAAGGTACGTCTCTGCTCTGCAAAGCCAAGCCACCCATTGACTGGTTAACGCTACACCATTGAATTGTGCGCTGTCTGCGTCTCTATTCTGGGTGTAAGCGCATGTTCCATGGCCCCAGGGTGTCATGCACCATCGAGTCATTAATCCCACAGTTGGCTTACTCTACCAATCGCCGTCCGTTTTACCCTCTTCCAGTATGTAGAGCGCAGGTTCCTAGTGTCTGGTACGCAACAGTATGGTGGCAGGGAGGCAGCGGAGGAGCAACTGTGGCAATCTGTGTGGGATGGGGACTTACAGCAGGCTGCGAGAATTCTGTTCAACGCTGGTCTTGATGTCAACATGACACGCAGAAAAGGGGGAGCAGGTGAGATGGTAGGCAACCAGACTGAATATTAAAGTTGTGACAACCAGACAACCTTTCCCCCTGCTGTTGTTTTTTTCTGTTTGTCTTGCATATTAAAGTTGTGACTTCATGCTTACGGCCCCATCCCTCGGACCAAGCAGCAAGTGAAGGTCACGGGGGTGCTTCTATCTGCTGCTACCTTCCCAGCAGCCACAAGCAACGCAACTCACATTCTTTTGCTGTTAACAATACGAGAGGGCCGCACATGGAGCAGAACCGGGACAGTACAGCATCTGACACCACGCTAGCTAGTTCCTCATCTGGTGTGCTGGCGCATGGGGAGGCGGAGCAAGAGGATGCGTCATATGGGTGTTGTCTGCTGCACGTGGCATGTTACCGGGGGGACACAGCAGCAGTGGAGCTGTTGCTGCAGCAGTCAGCTGATGTGAATGCACGGGATGCCATGGGAAGGACGCCTCTGCATTGGTGCCTCTTACTTGGTGTCTCTGCCTGCGCCAAGCAGTTGATAGCCAGGTTAGCCACGCTGCTCTCTCCCAACCATCCGCTTCCAACTTACCAGCAATGTTCACTGCCACCATGTTTTTGCCAGCCTGCCACCATGTTACTGACTTCTTTCATGTGTGCTTGCAGGGGGGCAAGTGTCTCTCTAAGAGACTCGTATGGGCAAACGCCTTTGGAGGCAGTGATGGAACAGGGGGGAGCCATTACTGATAATGACTTGCTGCTTGTTCTGGCACAGAGCCACTGAGGGCCATATCAATTTCGCATGGCACCTATGAAGCATAGTGCCAGAGGCAGTTTTGCTCGGTACGGTACCGCGATTCAGGTTATCGTCGTAAGCTTGCGGGTCTAGAGAGATCTCAAATTCATTGTTTTCATGTGCCTTGTTAAAGAAAATTCATCAGGCTCTGTCAAATGTTGTAGCCTATAGTGAGGTTTGTCTTAGGGGGTACAAAACTTAGGGTTAGCTATATGTACCCCAACCAACATCAATGCATCATCCATTCCTCATTTTGACATGGTATCAGTTAGGTTAGGATCCTGTGGGATCCCGTTCCTCCGTTCTCCGTTCGTATCTCCCGAGCCTGATCCTACCTCTCGTTCGTACCGGTTCCGTTGTTACCGCGCCTAGTGCCGAGCCTAGCGCCCTTTCCCCCCCGTCACGTCGCGCCCTTTTCCCCCGTTGCGTCGCGCCCGTTCCCCCCCGTCGAGTCGCGCCCTTTTCCCCCCGTCGCGTCGCGCTCTTTCCCCCCGTCGCGTCGCGCCCTTTCCCACCGTCGCGTCGCGCCCTTTCCCCCCGTCACGTCGCCCTGCCCCGTCCCGTCGCCCTGCCCCGTCGCGTCGCCCTGCCCCGTCGCGTCGCCCTTCCCCGTCCCGTCGCCCTGCCCCGTCGCGTCGCCCTGCCCCGTCGCATCGCGCCCGCCCTTTCCCCCGTCCCGTCGACCCTACGCCCTGGCCCGTCGCCCTAGCCCGTTCTTCCGCTGCGACTAAGTCCCCCCCCCCCCCCCCACCTGAACCCTAATTTGCCTCTTACCTCCTGCTGTTACTCGCCTGCTCGTTCGCGTTAGTTCTCGCTATGGCGACTCCGCGAGTTCTTCGTTTCGACGCTGACGGTAGACCTCTTGACTTTTCCGTCTGGCTTCTTCGCGCTCGCCGTCTGTTAGAGAGTCAAGTCCAGGGGGGCGAGACCCTCTGGTCGCACGCTACTGGTGACCTCCCCGAGCCCCCCGAGCCTGCCGCTTTAGGTCCTGCCCCTGACGATGCTGCTACGGCTCGCTTTGCCCGTCAGCGCGCTGACAGGACGGCTTGGACGTCGCGTGACGCTGCGGCCTGCATCGCACTCAGCAGCCTCCTCCCTGAGTCCGAGGAGGTCCACTTCACTCAGGTTCGCACCGCTGCTGCGTACCTCACTGCGATTAAGGCCCGCTACTCTACTCCCGCTACTGTCTCTCTTGGCCGTCTTTTCCTCCCGTTCCTGTTTCCTGATCTCGCCTCGTTTGAGCGCTCTGCTGACTTGATCGCTCACCTCCGCTCGCTCGACGCTAGTTACCGCGCTGCTTGCACTGAGGCACAGCTTGCACTGCTTCCTCCCCCCATGGCGATTACTATCTATTTCATCGCCACTAGCCTCCCTGACCGCCTTGCCTCCGTTCGTGACGCGCTCCTGCTGAAGCACCCTAGTGAGCTGATTGTCGAGGTCCTTGAGTCTGCGCTCAAGGACGTAGAGAGCAACCTTCGCTCGGTAGCTGCCGCCTCTGGTGCTGTGCCCCCCCCACTCTTCCACGGGTGCACAGTCCCGCAGTTACCCACCTTCACTGCCTCTCTTGCCACTGCCGCTACTGACGCGACTGCAGCTGCTGTTACGACTGCGTCGCGGTCCCGCGGCAAGGGGGGCAAGAAAGGTGGTTCTGGTGGAGGTGGAGGCGGAGGTAGCGGAGGTAGTGGGGGTGCTGTTGCGACTGGCGGTGGTGGGAGTGCAGCGTCTGGAGAGACCTCTCGTGCAGCGGCTGGTGACTCCACTGCGCCTGCTGGTGGTGGCGACACCCGAGCTCGTCAGTCGTCTCCTGTACTGCCGGCCCCGCTAGGTGGAGCAGCGGCGTGGTACCAGGCTCAGCGTCAGCAGCAGCTTCAGCAGCAGCAGCAGCCCCTCTCCTCCCAGCAGCCTCAGCAGCAGCAGCGTCAGCAGCTGGCTCCGGGGTCGGGGCTGCGTCAGCCCCAGCGTGGTGCTGCTTACCCTCCCTGCACCTATCAGGTTCTGACAGGTCCTCGTCGGGGCCACCCTTGTGGCCGCTTTCACCCCCCTGGTCAGTGCTTTGCTCAGCTCACTGACACGGTCCGGTTGGCCTACGGGGTTGGCGGTCCTGCCCTTGACTGGCTTCCTCTGGTTCAGCGCTACGGCTCCGCTCTGTGGGGCATGTCTGCTGAGCAGTTAGTTGATCTGATTGGTACTCCCCATGCTATGTATGCTGTTGTTGACTCTAGTGTTTCTGACTCTGCTTACTCTGGTGTTGTTAGCTTAGGTGCTAGCCTTGCTCAGTTGCCTGTTGCTAGTGTAGGTTCTTGTGTAGACTCTAGTCCAGCGGCTACCTCAGAGGACGGTTCGCTGTCGTTCACGCTGGACTCTGGAGCCTCTCACTGCTTCTTTCGTGACAGCACGACACTTACGCCTCTTCCTGCGCCTGTTTCTGTGGCGCTGGCTGATCCCACTTCGGGACCAGTCACCGCGCGTCACACTACCACCTTGCCGTGTCCGGCTGCTCCTTCTGGGTCTCTCACTGGGTTTCACGTCCCCTCGTTCTCCCGGAACTTGGTGGGCGTGCGACCCCTCGTGAGTCAGCACGTGGGTGTGTGGTTTGAGCCTTCTGGAGAGACTGCGGTGTGTGTTGACGGGGACTCTTACCAGCCCCTCGCCACTTTTGCTGCTGAGCCGGGCTCCGGTCTCTACACTCTTCACACTGGCCCGCGCGCTCAGCAGCGACTGCAGCAGCAGCAGCAGCCGCAGCCGCAGCCGCAGCCACAGCGGCCGCCGTCGCAGCAGCCACTCCTCCCAGTTCCTGTCCCTCCCCCTAGTCTCCTCCCTGCGTCTCACCAGGTGGTTCCGTCCCCTCAGGTTGTCGCGTCCAGTCCAGTCGCTGCGTCTTGCTCCTGTCGGTCGCTTGCCCACCCCACCGTTCTGTGGCACCACCGGATGGGACACCCTTCTCTTCCACGTCTGCGTGCTATGTCTAGTCAGCGTCTGGTCTTAGGTCTCCCGCGTGTCTTGCCGTCGCTGCCGCCGTCCCTTGCACCACCGTGCGGTCCTTGCGTCGAGGGTCGGCTGCGTGCCACCCCTCACTCCTCCTCCCTTCGTCCGGCCACCGAGCCTTTTGAGACGCTGCACTTGGACGTCTGGGGCCCCTCTCCTCGCCCTGGCCCTGAGCGTGAGCGTTTCTTTTTTGTGGTCGTTGATGACTACTCCCGCTACACCACAGTGTTCCCCCTGGCGAGGAAGTCTGAGGTGACTTCTACGCTGATCAGGTGGTTGCTTACCACCCAGGACACTCGTGGTCGTCGTGTCAGCTGTCTCCACTCCGACCGCGGGGGCGAGTTTCGCTCCGGCATTCTCGCTGGATTCTGTCGCGAACAGGGCATTCGTCAGTCCTGGACGCTTCCGGAGTCCCCACAGCAGAATGGGGTTGCTGAGCGTCGCATAGGCCTGGTCATGGAGATTGCCCGCACCTCCTTGACTCACGCCCGTGCCCCCCATTTCCTGTGGCCATACGCAGTCAGGTACGCCGCGCACCAGCTGAACCTCTGGCCACGCGTCTCTCGGCCGGAGGCTTCACCGACCAGTCTTTGGACAGGGTCCCCTGGTGTCGCGTCGAGGTTTCGTGTCTGGGGGTGCTTGGCTCTTGTCCGCGACACCTCCGCGGACAAGCTCTCGCCTCGCGCCGTTCCTTGTGTCTTCCTTGGTTTCCCTGAGGACTCCTCTGACTTCACCTTTTACCACCCTCCCTCTCACCGGTTCTTTGACTCCCGTGACGTCCGTTTCGAGGAGTCCACCCCCTACTACGTCAGGTACCCCAGTCGAGGTCTCCCGGTCCCTCCCCCCCCTCTCTTCCTGACCGCCGCTCCCCCGCCTGCTCCCCCGGTACAGCCTCCCCCCCCTGGTCCAGCCCCGTCTGGTGTGTCTCAGGCTAGCCCTCCCCCTTCGGTAGCCCCCCCTGTACAGCCTCCCTCCCCACAGTCTTCCTCACCGCCTCCTGTAGGTGCTCCCTCTCGGGAGGTTGGTCCTGCGACTGTCCCTGTACAGGTCTCTGGTTCTGGGGGTGCTGGAGTTGGAGCTGAGCCGCGGGTTGCAGAGGACTCTTGTCTTCCGGGGGCTGGTACTGGTCGTGCGGAGTCTGGGGGTGCTGGTGCGGAGTCTGGGGGTGCTGCGTCTGGGGGTGAGGGTGTCCCTTCGGTTTCTGGAGAGCCTGGGTCTGGAGCTGGTGTTGGTGCTGCCTCTGGGGGTGGTGTGCTTGGTGCTTCGGAGGTCGACTCTGGGGCTGCCGCTGCCCCGGACACTACTCCTTCCCCCCACCCCTACCCGACCAGGTTCCAGGCTCGTGTTCGCCGTGCTCGTGAGGAGCAGCTGGAGTTGGAGAGAGAGGAGAGAGAGTTGCAGCGGCTCGAGGAGCAGGAGCGACAGCAGCAGGAGCAGCAGCAGGGGCAGCAGCCGCTGGAGCAGCAGCAGCCGCAGCAGCAGCAGCAGCAGCAGCTGCTGCCGTCTCCTCCTCCTGTCTCGGGTCTTCGGACCCTTGGTCTCCCGTCTCCCTCTCCTTCCTCCTCCCCCTCTCCTCCCGTCTCTGGTCCTCCGCTTCCTCCTCCTGACCCCTCTCCCGCTGTTTTCCCTCGTTCTCAGTCTTCGTTGTCTCCTCCTCCTTCTCAGACTTGGGCCTCTCGTCGCTCCCCTCGTGCTCGTCCCTCGTCTCCTGTTCCCTTCACTGACCTTCGTACTGCCTTACTTCGTTCTAGTCCACCTCGTCCGTCTCCGTCTGTGCTTCCGTCTCCTCCTGAGTCGGCTCTCACTGCGTCGCTCCCTACTCCTGTCACTGACTACTACCGCACGTACCGTCCTCTTCTCTCTCGTGTTCTCGCCTCGCTTGTTACTCACCCTCGTGCCTCTGTGTCCTCTGTGTCCGCTCTTACTGCCGCAGTCACTGACTTTGCCTCTACCCGCCGCCTTGACTTCGCCACCGCTCTTGTGGCTGCTCCTCCTTCCAGTCCTCTGGCCGTCGGGGGTGTGTCTGCCCTTGGCTGTGACGCCCTAGAGGACAGGCAGTTTGAGCTAGAGTTCCTGGCCGCCGCTTCCCCTCATCTCTGTGCCATGCTCCTCGCCCCTGAGGGTGACCCCGACGCCCTTGACATTCCGACTCCTCGCACTTACGCTGAGGCAGTGTCAGGGCCTTGGGCCTCTCAGTGGAGAGCTGCCATGGACGCAGAGATGGCCTCCTACAGATCCACAGGCACCTACGTCGATGAGGTTCCCCCTCCGGGGGCGAACGTAGTTGACGGCATGTGGATCTACAGGGTGAAGCGGCCACCGGGATCTCCTCCGGTCTTCAAGGCGCGCTACGTGGCTAGAGGTTTCAGTCAGCGCGAGGGAGTTGACTTCTTTCAGACCTTCGCGCCCACCCCGAAGATGACCACTCTTCGGGTGTTACTACACGTAGCAGCACAGAGAGACTACGAGTTACACTCTCTCGACTTCTCTACTGCTTTCCTTCAGGGCAGTCTTCACGAGGAGGTCTGGTTGCGTCGTCCCTCTGCCTTCACTGGCTCTTTCCCTCCTGGGACCCAGTGGAGGCTGAGGCGACCGGTTTACGGTCTTCGTCAGGCTCCTCGTGAGTGGCACGACACCCTGCGTTCTACCCTGTCTGACCTTGGGTTCCAGCCGTCTTCTGCTGACCCGTCGCTGTTCGTTCGTCGTGGCCCCACACCTTTCTTTGTTCTGGTCTACGTTGACGACCTTGTTTTCGCCACCCCTGACAGGGTTGCTTTGGCACACGTGAAGTCCGAACTGCAGAAGAGACACACCTGCACTGATCTTGGTGAGCTGCGCCACTACCTTGGCCTGCAGATCACCAGGGACAGAGCTGCTCGCACCATTACACTTTCACAGTCGCACATGGTGCAGCAGGTCCTTCAGCGGTTCGGGCTTCAGCACTCCACAGTACAGCGCACACCTCTTGCTGTTGACCACAGACTCACTGGACCCTTTCCTGACGAGCCGTTCGAGCCTAGTGGTCCCTACGCAGAGCTTGTGGGTTGCCTCATGTACCTGATGACTTGTACTCGCCCGGACCTCGCCTTCCCTCTCAGCGTTCTTGCGCGCTTTGTTGCGCCAGGGAGACACCGTCCTGTTCACTGGACAGCAGCTGTGAGGGTGGCGAAGTACCTAGCGACGACGTCAGGCGTGGGGCTAGTTCTTGGAGGGCAGCAGTCTGTCGTACTTACTGGTCACTGTGACTCCTCTTACGCTGACGACGCTGAGACTCACAGGTCTACTCAGGGGTACTGTTTCAGCCTGGGTTCTGGAGCTGTTTCCTGGCGGTCCACGCGCTCCTCTTCGGTCTCGACCTCTACAGCTGAGGCTGAGATCTACGCTGGTGCCATGGCGGCACAGGAGCTGCGTTGGTTGACCTTCTTGCTCACCGACCTTGGTGAGCGGCCGAGCTCTGCACCGACCTTGTTCACTGACAACAAGGCGTCTATTCTCCTTTGTCGAGAGCCACGACTGGAGAGCAGAGTGAAGCACATTCACGTCAGGTACTTTCTTCTGCGAGAGTTGCAGAGGCGTGGACAGGCTCGCTTTGAGTTTGTGGAGTCCGAGGCCAACACTGCAGACATCTTCACCAAGGCGCTTCCGCCTTGTGACCACCAGAGGTGCTGTGTGCAGTTAGGCCTTGTTGACACTGGTTCTCGTGTTGCTTAGACTTGAGTGTACTGTTTACTTTGCTTTCTATATACCTCTGTTACTTCTTGGACTGGCCTTGTGGCCACTGTTGTTTGTGCTCAGACTGTGTGGTGACGTTGTGATCCACCCTGAGCTTTGTTTCTTGGACTGGTCTTGTGACCGTACTCGTTTGGTTCTGCTAGACACCCCTCACTTAGGCTATGGGGGTGTGTCAAATGTTGTAGCCTATAGTGAGGTTTGTCTTAGGGGGTACAAAACTTAGGGTTAGCTATATGTACCCCAACCAACATCAATGCATCATCCATTCCTCATTTTGACAGGCTCCATCACTCTTCCCGTGTCAAGATTTGCACATTCATTGTTTTCATGTGCCTTGCAGGGGGGCAAGTGTCTCTCTAAGAGACTCGTATGGGCAAACGCCTTTGGAGGCAGTGATGGAACAGGGGGGAGCCATTACTGATAATGTCTTGCGATTCATCAGCCATTACTGAGTAATTACTGCAACCCTGTACATGACTTCTACATTTTGAACTGCAACTGTGACAACTGTCAAGCCAATGGAGGATGGGTGCTAGGTGCTCAGCATATGAGTCTGGTTCTTGCTGACGACCTGTTACTGGCTTGTGCTGATTTGTTGAATAATCAAAAGTTCCTCAAGCGATAGCTTCTTCAGCTTCAGATACTCCTCCACAGGCATTTGAGCCACTTCTTCAGGAAGCTGCACAAGACGGGGTCTCTTAATGAGTGGCTGTCAGCTGCAGATATATCATGGCAAGAACACAACGCACGTATTCGTAACTCACAGAGTTAATCTGAGCTTCTGTTTGCTCCTTAATGACTCTCGCCTTTTCCCTGAAGCTTTCTCGCATCGCTTCTATCCTCGCGTTGGCTGCCAAAATCAAATGTCATAAGATTATCAGTCCATTTGAGGCGTACGCCTGACAGAAGTTCACATCATCTCTTCATCCATACCTTCTGCGTCAATCTCGTTCCACGTCTGCGTAGACACCTTGCTTCCCAGATTCGCAACATTCGGCGTCTCAGCGTTGACGCTTCTGTCTTTTAAAGGAGCACGTGGCCTCTTGGGCCTCGTCATTGGATCAACGTGAAGCAGAAAGTTCCGAGTTATAATACTCTAACAAAGTGAGCTGCTTCCAAACCCGTATTAGCTGGATGAGGATGCTCGATGCAGACCAGTAGCAGAATGTTTGTGGGTTGCTGTTACGTGACGTCGTGAAAGGAGAAAAACAGAGATGGATGCGAAACGTGGAAGCACTAGATGGTGCCACAGGTCGGGAAAGAAAGTGACCTAGTGGTTGCGAAGTTGGACCATGGGAGCTGTTCCTAGCAATGTGAGAGGAGCTTGATTGATGATGGGATAAGTCCGATGTGCAATCCTCGTGGAGTTCTAAGCCACTCAACCTGAAGCAGACAGGGAATCCGAGTCGCGGGCAGGGGTGGTGGGGCTGGTGTCAGAGATTCAAAACTATCCGATATCACGGGCCTCGCAAATCATACTGTTTTACCGATACACCGCATTTTCATAAGACTCAGAACTGGGAGCTGTTAGGGAAAGACTGGAAAGATGGTATTGGTTGTCACTAAACCCTACAAAATCGTTCGGTATAGGGGTCTGACTCAACGCTGTCCTTGGCAAATGAGGTTTCTGACGGAGCCTGGCCTGACGTCACAGCTGGAGCTGCCAACATGTCAGTTAGCGTTCCGGCGTCGTCATCCACTCGATGCGACACATCCCCTGCCAAACCTGCCACCGCCTCAAATGAAACCACAAACAGAGCACCCCTGACGAGATCCGTCACGACATCTTCTAGACCGACCTCGCGCTCCGCCACATCGAATGGTTCACACGCATGGATCTGGTCTGCCACCAACAACCTCCTCGTCTCGTCACTGCCCAGTTTTGCACACTCACTGCAAAAAAATCGCACTTACTGAAGTATCTCATTAATCTCCACTTTCTTTTCCACTTCTCACATATCCCAGGACTCGCGCGTTCTCCACACGTGAATCCTCCATCACCCGCCCCAGTTCCAGCAGCGCCTTTGGAAAAAGCGGGAGGACAGACAGCCCCCTTCACCTGGTCCATTTCCCAACATGCTTTGGTTGCACCAACCAACCACCCCATCGCTTTCCACCTCCTCCTAACTGGTGCTTGTGAGTTGTTTCCGAAAATTTCGCCTCTGTTCCACGTTCACATCTGGAGCAGTGCTCTCTGTAACCTATCCAGTTTCAGTGGTGAGAGTTCGCGTTGCTCAGCAAACATGGCCCTTTTTGTCAGTGACTGGGGACATCGCGTCCGCCCTAGGGGAGCCTGCTAGCTTCCAAGCTTGAGTGAACCTGCAAACGCTTCATCTGGCCTGATGTTCTCGGGTGTTGCCTGAATCGATCAACGCCACCCTGTTGAGATTTCGAGCCTCCACGATAGATTAACTGTCTTGCAAATGGGGGTTGACTCGTCATATCGCATTAGCGGCGCAGCATCCGCCGCTGTCGCCGCCGTGAACATGGGAGTGAGCGACGAGCACCTGGTCGGGCCGTCGCTGTTTAAGACGCTTTCGCAAGGCGCGTGCAACACGGTTCCGCCGAGTCACGCGGCGATGGAAGCGGTTCTGCGGGAGCGATGCCTCGGCGCTCGTGGTCGCAGCGTCAGCGCCAAGGACGACGTCATTTATTCGCGCTCCGTCGGCTCGGCCGAAGGCGCAGGAGGAACGCTGTGGAAAGGCGCAAGTTGTGAATATAACGGGGGTGTGTGTAACGGGCAATGCGAAGGTGCAATTGCTGGTGGCGTATGTGATTGTGAGGGTGCTAGGGGATTGGGGGGAGCGGATGAAGGGCAGACGGAGGGTCTTGGAGAGAGAGGGAGCAACGATGATTCCCGCTTCGCTGAAGCTCGCGAATATGGCGCCTTTCATCCTCGTTGCACCGTCGCGCGTCCAGCCCTTGATTTCAAGTCATGGCTCGCTGAACAAATCCGATTCAGCCAATCGCTGTCGTCCACGGTGTCCCTGCCACGGCCTCCCAAAGCCCCGGCAGCAGAGGTTCCATCATCGTCCTCGGCGTTCTCTCCCTCGGCTTCTCCCTCCGCTTCTCCATTCTCCTCGCTACCCTCGTTCCTCTCCCCTACATGCCCCAGTCCATCCCCCTCTCCGACCTCCTCCGCTCAGTCCAGTGCGCCCACCGACTCGCCATTCGTCACCTTGCCGATGGCTCTCGCCGGTTCCCCTGCTCACACCTCTGATCCTAGCAGCACCGTCGCACATCCTGCCGCTGTGCTCCTGCCGTCGCTAATCGCCCCCGCGTCACCCGCTCATTCCTCCGCGTCGTCGTCCACCCCCTCCACCCCCACGCTCACCCCGCGCTCGCCCTACTTCTCCATTTCTTCCTCCCATCGCCGCTCCCAGAACTGCCCCTCCCCGCAGTCCGGCTCCCCTGTCCCTCCGCCGTCCCCGCTGCTGCTCGGGCGGTTCAACCTCAGGTCGCCGCTTAAGGCGCCGCTGACGGCGCCACTGCGGGCGATCAGTCGCATGGCGGCGCGGCGGTGCCGGTGCTTCTTCACGCTCCACGTGCACGGCATCCTCGGCCTGCCCGCGCCCTTCGACGCTTCCGCCGATACTACTGCCGCCAGCACTACCGCCAGCAGCAGCAGCAGCAGTAGCACTGGCAGCGTCGTCAGCAGCGGAAGTAGCAACTCGAGCAGCAGCAGCAGCAGCAGTAGCAGCAGCAGCAGTAGCAGCAGCAGCAGTAGCAGCAGCGGCGGCGGCGGCGGAGAGTGGGAGGCGATGGTGTTGTGGCACAGGCGCGGCATGGCGGTGAGCACGAGCGTGGCGCCCGTGCGCGACGGCGTGGTGCAGTTCGAGCAGACGCTCGAGCTCTCGTGCACGCTCTACTGCACCCCCGGCCCGCACCACTCGCTGCGCTTCCAGGTAAAGCCCTCCACGCTCGTCGTCCGCCTCATGAACCGCTCCGGGGGCACGCGCGCCAGAGGCGCGCAGGGCGGAGGCGCGGGCGGAGGGTCGGCAGGGAGCGGGGAAGGGGACGAGGCGAGGGTAAGGGCATGTGTAGCAGCGGCGGAAGGTGCCGGGGTGAGTGCGGGAGTAGGGAGGGCGGGGGGCGGGTGCAGCGAGGTGGAGGTGGGGCGGCACGCGGTGGATCTGGCGCGGCTGGTGCCGTGGTCGCTGCAAGACACGGACCTGCGCCCGCACACCCTCGCCTTCCCCCTCTCCGCCGCCGCCTCCGGCGCCACGCTGCTCGCCACCTTCGGATACGAGCTGCAGATTAGTAGGAGAACGAGCGGCATTGGCGCAGCTGGGGGCGGGTGGGGTGCGGGGGGCGGGGGCGGAGCGGAGTCGAGAGTGGCGCGCGCTGATTCGAGGGCGTTCAGTGCGGTGGCGGCGGAGGCGGCGCTGGACGAGGTGGTGCTGCCGTGCAGCAGCGCGCACAACAGCCCCGCGTCGAGCCCACCCCGGGGGCCTCCGCTCGCGCACTGGGCTGCTGCCCCGCCCCCCGCTGCCGCTGGCGCTCTGGGGGGGGAAGGGGGGAAGGAGTTTGGGGCGTGGGGCGAAGGCGAGGGGGAAAGGAGGCCCGCAAACGAGTGCTCGGGGCAGGTGAGTATCAACAAGTTGCAGGACGGTGCTCGGGAGGACAAGAAGGAAACGAGAGGAGTGGGCGAGGGCGAGGAGGGAGAGGAGAAGAGCATGGGACCTGAAGTAGTGACAGAGGTTCAGCAGAGGGAGGGGAACGCTGGGGCTTTAGGTAGTGAGGAGGAGCTTTTGCATGGGGAGAGACCTTGTAACGGCAGGGCAGATGGGCCAGCTGTTGTAGATGTGGGCTGTGCAGTGGAGGAAGAGAGGGTGTGTGTGGGTGAGGTGGGCGAAGCAATTGTTGAAGAAGCTCCTGTTATTGGAGAAGGGGGAAGCGAGGGCTGTGGTGCGGTGGTGAATGCAGCGACTGTGGATGCGGCTACAACAGCAGATGCAGCGGCGGACAAGCACAAGCTTGCCCCTGCCTTTGTGCCAGAAGCAGTGGCGAGCGAGGTGTGGGGAGGGGCAGTGGAGGCGCTGTGTGGAGGGGCGGGCACGGAGGAGGACTTAGAAGGCGTAGAGGATGCATTCATTGCGATGCTGGAAGAGCAGAGCAAGGAGACTCGGCGCGGGAGAGGCGGCAGCAGGGACCGCAGGAAGGGAGGGAGGGGTGTGCGCGGTGGCAGAGGGAGGGGGCGAGGGGGTGGGGATGGTGAGGGTGGTGGGGACGGGGTGGGGGCGTGGCTGGATGGCATTCCCGAGGTGGATGGGGAGGGGGAGGAGAGGGAGGAGCGGGAGGATGGGATGTGCGGAAGGGACATGCGGTTGAAGTGAATTTGGGACAAGAGGACGAGGCCGATCACATTTGCATGGGCTGGCTGTTTGTCAGCTCCCCAATTCTGGACTTGTGTTCTTTTATTAGTGTTGCAGTTGCATAAGTGTACTGTTTGTAGTAGCATCACCTGCACTCAGTAGTCACCCATGCTAGGCTAGTCGCTGTGATGCTCGGAATAGGCACTCTCCCTAGCACTCACCGCCTTTTGATGCTCGCACAAGCTCACTGTGCCTTGCAGTCTGCCTCTCTGCATCATGCCATTTCCTGCTCCTTGTCATGACTAGTGTGCAATGAAGTAACCAAATCTTGTTTAAGCTGTTAACCTAAAAACTACAGTACACAGAGGCATCCATTTGTCCCACCCAAGGTCGCAAAAGAGTTTGAGGTTGGCCTGACGACAGATGCTTTGGGATGTGTGGTGCCGTATGCATGGAAGATGCCCATTCCAAATATTTGTATGCTACAGCCGCTGTTGAAACTGTATGTCATGGGACAGAGACGAGCTTGCATACAATACCACACAGCCTATGTGGCCACTGCATCTCCTAACTACAGCCAGCCAGCAACATACGTACCGTCCCTGCCGCTTGCTAGCGGCATAAGTATCTCCTGCAATGGGAGCAAGCCTACCCACATTCGCGTAAACACTACGAAGCAGAGGAGGCCACGGTGCTCGAGGTTGAAAGCGCATCAGAAGGCGCAGCATCATGTGGCGACGACACTATATCCGGAGCCGACTGCGAGCCCTGCAGCGCGGGCACTCTGCTGCGCTCCACCTGCACGGTGGCATGGCTGATGCGGTATGTGCGCTCACAGAAGCGCAGCACGGCGTTGAGCACGTCGTCGGGGTTGCTGTGTGCGTCGATGCGCACGTGGCACGCCAGCATGACCTTGCCCAGTGTGAGCGCCCAGATGTGCAGCTCATGCACGTCCTCCACCCCTGGTAGCGTCTTCAACCCCGCCTCCACCTGCACCCCCATGCACCCGCCCGCACGGCCACCCGCAATGGCAGAGGGGGATAGGTGTGAGACGAGAGTTAAACAGCATCCCAAGTGAATGGTCATGGGGTGGATTTGATTAAGTGTGGGGTGGAGAGTTGGGATCCGGACAGGAGGAGGATCACAGGCGGAAAACACCCAAAAGCGCACTACCGATTTCGTGCAGATTGCGAATTCTGCACACACCCTACCAGAGCAATGAGCTCTGAGCAATGAGCGCAATGCTGGATTGTGACGGACCTCTGAGGCGTTGATTCCGCGTGGTGTTGACTCCATGAGCACGTCTATGACGTCGCGCAGCATGCGATACGTGGTGAAGAGCACGAGGAGGGAGAAGATTAGCGTGCAGATCAGGTCCACTACCTTCCTGCACATAGCAGCCATGCGGTGGGAGGGAACAGGCAGGTGGATGGAAGTGCAGAATGCATCATGCTGTTGAACGTGTGGGAGAGTACTCATGATTCGGGGAGGTGGTGGTGGTGGTGGTGGTGGAGAGACAGTTGGTCGGGCCATGGCAAGAGGGTGAATGAGGTAGTGCGCACGAGCAGCAGATGTTAAACCACAGCAGCAAAAAAAAAGCAAACCCTCCCAGTAGGCCGGAACAGTGCCAGTGCGAGGTCAGCACGTACCATGCGGGGTTGTACCAGATGACAGCTCCCCCCACCATGACGCCTATGCTCTGCAGCAAGTCCCCCAGCACGTGCAGGTACGCCCCCTCCAGGTTTATGTTGCGTGCCCGCGCTGGCTCTGCCTCTGCACGCAACGGGGGGGACGGATGGGCAGAGGAGATAGAGGAAGAAGGAAGGAGGTGGGCGGAGGAGGAGGGAGCAATCTCAAAGGTGAATAAGGTGAATGTGGCATGATAGGTATGTACGATGGAAGGCACACAGCGCAGTATTCAGAGAGAGGAGAGAGGAGAAAGAAAGGACGAATAGGGAGATGGAGAAAGAGATAGCGAAGCGAAGGAGTGAGAGAGGGAATGATGGGTGAGAGCAACGCAATTTACCTGCAGGACTACACGCGGAGTGCTGTTGTTGCTGCTGGGATGAGTGGTTGGCGCCGTGGTGGAGAGTCACTATGGCATCGCCTGCACCTGTGCTCGTTGTGCCATGCCCATCCCCATGAGCATGGTTATGCCCTTGGCCGTGGCAATGGTCATGCCCATCCCCTCCTGGCTCCTTCCACCCGTGCACATGCCCATGCTCATGCCCATGATCATGCGAATGACTATGCCCATGCCCATGCGAGTGACCATGCCCGAGTCCATGCCCATGGTCATGCCCATGGTCATGGCCGTGGTGGTGGTGGCCGAGAATGAGAGTCATGAGCACGTTCACTCCCACGCCGAAAGCCGACGTGATGAACATGAGCCGCCCGTCCACCGACTCCGTCTGCGATATCAGCCTGCCCGCACACACGCACAATCAGCAGAGCAGCAGCAGCAGGAGGAGGAAGAGGTTCATGGGACTCCAGAACACATATGACCAAGAGGCAGAACGTGAGGTTCATCCACATAACTCGCTGAACCCCACCCCCCGTAATCAATCATAGCCATCACTGCCCCCCAAGAAAGCAAGCGAGGTGGGTCGGGCGCGCACCTGGAGACGGCCTCGTAGAGCAGAATGCCGGTGATCATCCAGATGAGCTGCATGGACACCAGCGCGCCCAGGATCTCCATGCGGTGGTACCCGAACGTGTGCCGCGGCGTCGCCTCCCACCCCGCCATCCACAGCGCAAACAGACTGATTGCGAAGCCTGGGGGGCGAGGGGGCGAGGGGGGGAGGGGGGGAGGGGGTGGGGAGGGGAGGAGGGGAGAGCGGGGAGCAAGGAAGAGAGGGTCAGGGGGCAACGGGACTGGGGGAAAAGGGTGGAAGGAGAACAGGGTCTGCAGGGAGAGGGCGAAGGGTTTGACGGAAACAGCAGGGACGAGAGGGAACAGAACTTGTAGGGAAAACCGGAGAGGAATGTTCTGAGGGCCAAAAAGCGAACGATACAATGGAATGCAGCGAGGAGGAACGAGCAAGCGGGGAATTGTGAGGGCGAGAGAGAGAGAGAGGCAAGCGTTGGGTGAGAAGGGGCAAAGCGGGAAGAGGGGAGGGCAGGGGATCAGCGGAACGGGAGAGGGTGCGCAGGCGGAAGGCGAGAGGGCGTACTGGCGATGTCGGATAGGAGATGCGCCGCATCCGTGAGCACGGCGAGACTGTTGGATAGGATACCTGCCCCGCGCGCCATGGGGAACAGGGAAGAGGGAACGGGGAACGGGGAGAGGCGAACCGGTAGGGGGGAACGGGGAGAGGGGAAAGGGGACGGGGCAGCCGGGGGAGGGAAGGGAAGAGGATGGAGGACATAGAGAGACGTGTTAAGAGAGGAAGTGGTAAGGTTTGCGCAGTGAGGAAATTATTGGGAGGCGAAGAAGAAACTGCAGCGGAGGAATTCAGAAACGGCTCGCTGAAGGCAAGACAGCTGAGGAGGGGGAGAGCGGACAGGCATAACGAGTAGAATGCTCAGGAGGTACAACAGGGAGCGGGGGGCGAGCGCGGGGCGAGAGTCACCTCCAACGACTTCGACGAGCATGAAGGCGAGCGAGAGCGCGATGGCGAGCACGAGGCGCTGCCGCACCTTCATGCGCTCCTTGTCCTCCACCGTGCCCACCGCCACGCCGTCCGCGAACCCGCACCGCGCACTGCAGCCTGCCATGGACCACCAGCAGCGCGCGCATGAACAAGGAGGACGGATCAGGGGCCTCGTCGAAATTAGGTCTCGAGCGAAAGAAGATCGAAGAGTCGCGAATTTCGCGACATGTCGGGATAGAAGATTCTCGGATCCGAAGTTAAAAGCACGCAGCACTCACTGGCGTGTGCGGGTTCGTCCTTGGCATCCACCGCCACGACCGTGTCTTCATATACCTCGCTCTCATGCCCATGCGCGTGAGCCGCCTCGTGCGCGTGCTCGTGCGCGTGCTCGTGCGTATGCGCGAGGCTCCGGTGGTTGAGATCGCCGCAGTGACTGCGATCGCCTTGACGGCATTCCGAAACACCATGCGAGTGCTCATGATCGTGACTGGATTTGTGCGTGCCTGTCGCCTTCGCCTGGCTCTGATCAATTCTTCCGTTGCCCCCTGTCAGTAGCGGCTGCAGCAAACCGGCCTTGGGGTCCGTGGGTCCCATTGATAGGACAACAGAAGTCGTCGAACTAGTAGGCTCGTAAGACTTAGACGTACTCGAGCTTCCTTTCGTTCGGTTCGATAATCGATCCACTGCGACCGATACCGGAACTTTCGCTGAAATCAAATGAACACCACAGGAAGCATTCACCCTGCAACAAGGTAGAGTGTAAAATATGCGGCTGTATGTAAAGACGTGGGCGGAGAGAACGGCGGTAAGACAAGAGACACTGCTGACAGCCGTGCGTGTGTGATTCAAGTCTCGGGATTCGTTTCAGATGAAAAAACAAAAGACGTGAGTGGGCTACGATCACAGGAACGAAGCTCGAGGAGATTTGTGTGTGTGAAAATGAGCGACGGTGGGCGACGATAATGTGAAAGATTTCGAGGCTCTGCGTCGCGGAACCACTATGGTCCATCGCCAGGTGCCGCCTGATTGTTTGCTCCCCCTTTCCTCAAGAAAGTGGCTTTGGGAGTGTGGCTGGGGAAATTGGGCGACGTGATGGAATCAAGGTTTTTGTGGCGATGTGGTTGTGCGAAAGCTCGGACAGGACCTAGACATTGCTGAGGGTAACCACCGAAGGGAATCTGACTCTTTGGTAAAATCCTAGCTGTTCGATTGTTGGGATGACCTCATCGTAGGGACAACATTTATCGGCTCAAGATCGCACGCGCCACTGCAGGCCCCCTCTGACATGCCATTCCTATGCGCTGATTTGCTAGCCGTCCACAATTACATACCAACCTACACCATTCATTGAAATTTCTCTTCACCTAGGCTGTCTACACTTTGTTACAAAACGGGGTCCGCGCTATTTTCTAGCTTCAAGTCAGATCTCGTGTCAAGTTTCGTTTATATCGGGAGCCGTTGCTTTCGGGTTCTGGCGCAACAAAAAATTGCTGACACGAAGATGACCTTCGCGAAGTGCACGCCCTGATGGAGCTGTTTGTCAGGGAGTTGTCGGAGAGAGAATTCGCTTCGTCCCCCTTACCTCTTCATTTCAAGGCGAGAACTTGATTTAGGGTATCCCGTTTCTTGCTATCTAGGAGTTTCCTCGCACTCTCTACCGGCTCTCTGCAGCCGCGCAATCTCCTGCCTTGCTCCCCTCCTGTTCATGTATAAATCGCCCAATCAGGATTCCCCCCCAGCTAGTCTCCCACCTTTGCTTGCTCCTACTGCATCGACCAACCATGGATCCCGCCTCCCTCCGCCTCCAGGCGCCGCTTCCTCTGCTGCTTCTCCTTTTAGCAGTGGCGGTGCAGGCGGATCTCACGGCTCTGACCCTCTATCCGTCGAAACCGGAGGCCCGGGAGCGATGCGTGGGAGTGGATCTCGGAGCGCGAGCGGAGGCAGGGAAGGCGGGGAGGTGCCAGGTCTCGCAGGGCGCGAATCGTCGACGGGAACCGGCGTTATCGCGCTTGATAGCGCAGCCCGCTCTAGCAACAGCGGTGGTGGCATCTTGAAAGAGAACACGCTGAGGGGCACCGGCAATGCCGAGTCAGATGTTACTGGGAATAACGGCAGCAGCGGCAGCAGCAGCAGATCGTCTGCGATTTCAAATGCGCTCAATCCAATGGCCAGCGAATTCGTGCCAATTTTTCAACCCGCAGGTCCGTCACTTGTTTTTGCGCTCTTCTTTTCATTTGATTTCTGTCCTCCTGCCTCTTCATTTCCGTCCTTCCTTGCCTCCTCCCGTTCCGTATATCCTCATATTCATTTTCCGTATCCACAATCCCTATTTTTTTCCGCTCCAGCGTTTCCCAATCAGCGGCAGCAGCAGCCGCAGCAAAGACATTCCGCGGAACAGCCTCATGAAGCGGGCTGGGAGCACGTCAGGTCGGGCGGAAGGGGCGGTCGGGGGAGGGGCAGGGGCGGGCTGAGCGCCAGCTTCGCAGACATGGGCGGAGGGGCGAGAGGGGGGGATATGGGGCGGAGCGGGCGGGGGAGAGGCGGCAGGGGGTCTTACAGCGGAAGCCGAGGGGGAGGAGGAGGTGGCGGGAGAGGAGGCGTGGGAAGGTCCCGATGGGGCGCGAGTGAAACGGTCGTGGAGGGGACGTCAGGCGAGGAAGGCCGCGGAGCTGCTGCTGCTGCCGCTGCTGCTGCTGCTGCGGCTGCTAGCGGAGGTGGCGGAGGAGGAGGCGGAGGAAGCAGCGGGGGAGGGAGCAGCAGTGCAGCGGTTCCAGCAGGGGCAGACGAAGAAGCAGCAGCAGCGGCAGGGCCAGCGGGAGCAGCAGCGAGTGGGGGCCGGGGGCGAAGGGGCGTGCAGACACAAGCGAATCACCTGCTCAACTTTCAGCCGTACCAGCCCACCACCGCGCGAGGCGTCGGCGCAGCGCTGGGCGGTTCCGGGGGGGCGGGAGGCGGAGGGGGGTCGGGGCGGTGGCGGCAGCAGCAACAGCAGCAGCGGAGTCGAGCGCATCGGTCGTTCAATCGAGAGTTGTTTCTACAGGTGAGTGGTTGCGCTTGTGCGTGAGCGAGTCCTGGCAACGGGGCGACCTGCTCACATTCCTGCATGAATGCCCTGCCATGCTCTCAGCGTCTGCGCCCTCCCATCTACACCCGTGCCTGCCCCAGTATCTCTCTTCCAAGTTGCAACGCATTCATCACTTTCACCCTCTCCTTCGTCCCTCAAACCTCCTCTCGCCCCTCTTTCCCATCCTCCCCTTTCCTCCCCGTTCCTCCTCCCCCCCCTCTTTCCCCCCCTCCGTCCCTCCCCCCCCACCCAACAGGCCAACTGTCGTTTCCTGGTGTCGGATTGCGGCGACTACAACAGCGACCTCGCGGACGCGGATCGCATGCCCGACTGGGCTGACGTGGCGGCCGTCGAGATCACCGAGACCACTGACTGCCACGCGGGCGCGGGCGCGGAGGAGGGGGATTCGCATGGGGACGAGGGAGGTGGGGGAGGGGGAGAGCGGGCAGCAGGAGGGGATAGCATCGCGGGCGGCGCCAGTGGCACGTTGTCGTGTCCGATTTGCCTGGAGAGCCCTCCGCTCTGCCCTCAGGTTCGTTTGTGTGCTCGCTGGGCAGCCAGTGGGGCGCTTATTTGACTGCTTTCAGTGTGGCGCTTGGAATGCGGGCAGGTGCGGGGGTTGTGCGGGGAGTGGTGCTTGTTGGTTAGTATCTCATATTGTCACACTCGTTACCTGCCCACGCTTCCCCCTCCCATCCACAGTCCACGTACGAATTGTCCTTCCTGTCCCTCCTTCCTCTCTCCCCCCCGATTTCCTTCCGTACCGCTCCCACTCTCCTTCCTTCCCGAACCCCCCCTCCCCTGCTTTCCTTCCCACTCCTCCCAAATGCCCTCTCCCTGCGCACTTGCCATCAGATCACAGCGTGCGGCCACGTGTTCTGCCACCCCTGCATCCTGCGCCACTTCGCCACGCCTGACGCGCGCCACCCCGACGCGCCTCCCCTGCGCCCCGCCACCGCCGCCAGTGCTGCCGCCGCCGCTGCAGTGGCGCGCGCCGTGGCTGCAGGGGGCAGTCCGCAGAGGGCCTTCCGTGCGCTCTCTGGCGCCGCTGCTCTCGCCAGCAACGCAGCAGCAGCGGTGGGGGGAGGGGCGGGTTTGGGTGGCCGAGGCGCAGGGAGAGGAGGCGCAGGGCCAGCGGGGAGGGGGGCTGGGCGAGGTGGCAGCGGGAGAGGTGCAGCTGCTGCTGCGGCGGCGCCGGTGGTGCTGCCGACGGCAGGGCTGGCGTCGTCAGTGGTGCAGCGGTTCAAGCGGTGCCCGCTGTGCTTCGCGAGCATTGGGTCGCATGAGCTGCGCACCGTCACCATTCGCTCCGTGCCCGCTCCCCGCGTCGGCCACATGCTGCGCTTCGTTGCTCTCATGCGCTCCAAGGTGCTGCTTTATCTCCACACACACATGCGTACTCGCACACATGCATGCACGCATGCACACACACACAACATTGTGCCGGCTTTCCTGCCTCTGGCGCTGTGCATTGGTGCACGTGTCTATCCCCCCTTTCCTCCCTCCGTCCCTCCTTCCCCTCTCGCTGGAAACTGTTGGACATATCCTCGCCCCTCTCTCTCCTCCCATATTCAGTTCCTCCTTCCATCCTGGCACTTCCCCCCTTCCCTCCCACCAGTCCTGCGTGGTGCCGTTTGAGATGCACCGGCACCACCGAGAGCACTTCTCCCTGGCGGCGCTGCCCTTCTCATCCACCGGCCGCTGCCACGCCTTCTCCAAGCTCACGCTCACCTCCGACTCGGCCGCCGCTGCTGTCACGGACGCGGCCGTGCGAGCGCTGCTGCAGCGCGTGGAGGAGGTCAATGAGAGCGGTGGGGAGGAGCTGGAGCAGCTGCCCTATGTCATGGACGCCGTGAATCAGCTGCTGGACCGGCAGCAGGTGAGAGGGAGGGGGTGTTCTATGGGAAGGGGGAGATTGGGTGGTGTGGCCTGCAGATCAGGAAAGGATACTGAAGTTGCTCGATTGTTGACGCACAATTCGCCCTTTTTGTCTCTCGTACTTTCCCATGCGACTTCCCTCTTTCTCCCACCCTCGCTCTCCCCTTCCCCACCGCGTGCACAGGCGTGGGTGGAGCACAGGCAGATGGCGTTTGTGGCAGCCAGCCCATCGCACCAGAAGGGCCTGCTCTCGCTGCTCAAGCTCCCCATCGACCTCCCCCCGCCGCCCCTCTCGCCCTCCGCCTCCCCCGCCGCCTCTCTCTCCGCCACCTCCCCCGCCTCCCACTGCATCACCTCCCCACGCGCACGCTCCTCCCCCTCGTTCCCCTCTCCCCCCACCAGCAGTGCCACTGGTGTGGGAAAGCGCATGGCTGGATTGCAGTTGGAGCAGGAAGGGGGTGTAGGGGGGGAGAAGGGCGGGGCGAGCAAGGGGCGTGAGGGAGCCGCAGAGCTAGAGGTTGCGGGTGGGGAGGAAGGGGATGGAGTGGGAGATGCAGAGGCGGAAGAGGAGAAGGCGTGTATAGAGGAGGCGGAGGAGGAGGGGAGTGTGGGAGGTGAAGGCGAGGATGTGGCAGCAGAGGTGGAGAGGAAAATGCATGAGCTGGAGGCGAGTGCCGGGTGGGTGTATGAGAGTGCCTTCTCTGATGATGAGGGGGAAGACGAACGAGGGGAGAAGGGTGGCGCTGGAAAGAGGGTCGCTGCTGTCTCGTCTGCTGAAGCTTCTGCAGCAGTGGCTGCTGCGGATGCTGCTGGTGATAGTGCGGGAGCAGCAGAGAAGAGCCAGGGAGGGGTTTCGGGAGGGGAGCAGCGCGAGAGCAGGATGGGAGAAGGCACGGAAGGAGGTAGCGATGCTGGTGGGGGGTCAGCTATGGCTGAGAAGGGCGGGAGAGCAGAGAGGCATGAAGGGGACGCTGGGCGGGGTGAAGGCAAGAGTGGGGCGGGACGAGGTGGGAAGGGCAAGGGGGGGGAGCGCGTGGGCGAGGGCGAGGAGGTGTGTGGGTGGCACGTGTTCTACCAGGCACAGGATGGCCCGTGTGTGGTGCTGCACCCACTCAATTTCAAGTGCCTGTTGCAACACTATGGCTCTGTTGAACGCCTCCCCCTCAGGTACGGCTCCGCTCCTCCACTCCTCCGTTCGTTGGTATTCTCCTCCTCTCCCTCAATCTGCTCCGTCCATCCTTTTGTCTTCGAGCTAGTCTTGCTCCCTCGTGCTACACCCCATCCCTCCCGCACCCTTTCTCTCCTCGCGCAGGCTCTGCGTCTCACCGGCCTCTCCCACTCTTCACACGGGTGCCTCTCCAAGCTCATCTCCAAACTCAAGTTGCCACTCGTGACATTCAGTGCCGCCCCTCGTGAACCCTCCCTGTCGCCCTGCGCTGCGCCCCACAGCGTCACAGCACGGGTGGTACAGCTGGAGCCCATGCGGCAGTCAGAGGCGGTGCGGCGGCGGCTGCGGGTGCTGGACCACCTGCCGCTCACGGCTGCCTTTGTGCTGGCCGAGGTCGACCTCGCCCCGCTGCTGCCCGCGCCCTCCCTCGCGCCCTTCCTGCCTGAGATCAACCACCGCAGGCTGCAGCGCCAACGCCAGCTGCGACAGGTGGGGAGAATGGGCAGGGCAGAAGGTGGGCACAAGGTTGCTTGCTGCAAAAGAGCTGCGCTAGTGGAATGTTAGCATTGCTGGGCACAGTCAGCACCAGTCCAAGACCATGTGTGCTTTGCTCGCTTCTGTGTGTGCCAGGAGGAGAGGGACCGAGTGAAGGCACAACACAGGGAGGCAGTGGCAGTGGCGGCAGCAGCAGAGGATGGGAGGTTCTTTGAGCGCCAGCGCGTACCAGCACCCATGGACTTCGTCCCCCTCGCACAAGCTGTCGCTGCAGCAGGTTCCGCAAGTGCTACTGCTGCTGCAGAAGATTCCGACACTGGTGGTGGGGATGTAGCAGCAGGCAGTGCGGAAGGTGAAGGGGCGTCTGGGAGTGCAAGCCATGCGCGCCCCATGGCCTTTTCAAAGGTCACAGAGCTGGGCTATGCTGCTGGGCTGGGCTCTGTGGCACTCTCCGGCCCCTCCCCCTCTGCTACAACTGCTCCAGCTCCCCCCTCTGGCCCTTCACCTGTTTCCACTACTGCCACGCCTGCCCAATCAGTGTGGGCTAGTCGTCCGGACTTCTCCAGAGCAGGCTCTGCTGGTGCTGGTAGTGGTGCATGGGGTTCTGGGGGGGCGGCTTCTGCCAGGGGTGTGGGGAGTGGGGGAGAGGGGGCTCAGGTGCCTGGTGATGATGGGAGCGCTTCTTCAGGTGGGGGGAAGGGGAAAGGAAAGAAGGGCAAGAAGAAGGGCACTACTATTTTGCTTTCTAGTGGAGGCCTGCCGCGCTACTGAAGGCGTGGTGCGTCATGCAGGCCTGCAGGTATAAATGTGTGGGTTAGGACTCCAGACTACTACTATGCTACTGGTATCGTTGAGTTGTCTGTTGCCTAATTTCTGCTGTCTGATGTAGAGTGGTAGGCAGGCCTCTGGATAGGATTTGGGGTACTCTTCCTCGTAAGGCCAACACCCAGCTGTTACTCTTTCAGTAAGGGTGCTTCACAGGAACTGCTCTTAAAAATCAGGGTGCAAACAAATTAAAGAAACTGTCGAATAAATTTGCTGAGGATACTGTGTAGGGTGTTAGTGTTGCAGTGTGTTGAGTCATCGTTGTTATGTGGAGGGACCAAGTTCGATACCTATCGGGATCATCAGCCGTAGGAAATGTGTTTTACGCGACCAATCCTGGTATCCTCTCTTAGATCGAACTCGATTTCATCAGTGCTACTACACCACATAGCTCTGAAATATCAGTGTCATACAATCGATCACTTTTTTTGGTAAGGGTCGAAAACAAAACCAGTCTTGTAAAAAAGGGTGCATCGTAAAACCCGCCCTTATAGTAAGGGTCATAAGGGTGAATCACCCTGATATCGAGAGGCCAGGTGGTAGGGTAGCGCAGTGATACCGGTAGCTTGACTGTTTTGCCTTGATACTGGTGGTTGACCTCAGTGTGTGAAGCTTGCATTCAGTATCCAATTATCTGGTCAAGTCCTAACATTGTTCAGGTATCAACCTGGTTATACCGTACCGAATTGCTAAATTAGCTGCAAATCTCCAGCAACTTCCGCCATGGCCATCATTTTGTGGGCGGTCTTGCCACGGGCTCTGACGGACGGGGTAAGACTAGGAAGCAGACAGGCGAACATTGACGAGGTTACGTCGCTTGCCAGGGACAACGGCTTCCGTCACATTCACATGGTTACCCTGCAATTATTTGAAGGTGTCATTCCGCGTTCAATCAAGGCGGTTCGATATGCCCAGTTTCCGGCCAGGACACGCTCTGCCGTCAGATCCTGTGGAATCTGACTGATAGATAGATCTCAACCGTCCCTTCTGGCATGAGTCATGCATATTGTAGAGCGATACCGCCACATCTGATAGGGGCAGATGGTGGTGCGAGAAGTCAGCGCTTGGTGCATTGGACAAGGTCTCCCCCTTTTCCCCAATAATCAAGGTCGGGCAGCAGACTCCACCCAAGTCGGCGGGGAAACTTCTGCTGCTGCCGCGCTCGCTATCACCGTCGACAGGGAGATGCTGAGGGGGGGAAGAGCGGGAAGGAAATGGAGAGGGAGGAGGAGGAGGGAAGGGACGGGACGGGGCGGGAAGGGACAGGAAGAGAGGGGAACGAAGGAGAAAGGAGGGGACAGAGGGGGGGTTTGGAGCGTCTAAACCGTGAAGCCTGGTTACATATTCTAGAGCGCATGAGCACGCGTAGCAAGGCGACAAATGCGTACTGAGAACGGAGCATGGCTAGTAACGCGTACAGCGGGTGCTGGCGCACGTGAAACGTATTAGAGCTAGTAGCGCGTACAGCGGGTACTGATGCACGTGGAAGGCTATTAACACGTACAGCGGGTACTGGTGCACGTGGAAGGCGCGCTGGCCGATGGTGACGACGAGGTCGCTCGCCATGCCCGCCACTTGCGCGCACTCCGGCTCGCTCTCGTGCGACAGCAGCGACGCCGTCGCCTCGTCGCAGCCTTCGTCGTCCATCGCGCGCGTCGTCGGAGGGAGCAGAGGAGGAAGAGGCGCGCGGAAAGAATCGGCGCGGAGTAAACGGCGCGGAACGGCGCGAAGGGAACAGCGGCGAGGCACGGGGGAGGGCGAGGATGCGGCTGCTCTCTGCTGCCTGGTGCTCTCTCTTGCTCTCTCTTGCTCCCTCTTGCAGTCTGCTGCTGTGTGCCGCTACCCGATGCCCCACCCCGCTATCAGTTTGTCGAGCAGTACAATGCGAAAACTGCGAAACGCGCGTCAAGAGCGGAAACTTGAACAAGAAGAAATCAGGTACACACGGCGATGCTTCCGATTGTCAAACTATATGTGCTGCATATTGTCTAGGCTGTAGTGGGGTAGCCCATATGGGGTACAACCCAATTAGGGTTTACTACTTGTACTCCTGCATCCTGTTAGTTCACATCATTCCTGCTGCTAGATTCTAACATGGTTTCAGAGCACTAAGGTCCGTAGGACCGTTTTTTTCCGGGCCCACCTACCGCTGCGGTTACCGCGCTACCCCACGTGCCTGCCTGCCTTGCCTTGCCTTGTGACGTGCTGCCCTAGGCCGGTGCGCTGCCCCTAGAGGCCCGTAAGGCCCGCGCGCTGCCTCTACATGCCTGTCAGGCCCGCACACACACTTCTACCGCGCGCTGCCCGCACCGAGACCGCGCAGCCCGCCCCGAGTCGCGCGCAGCCCGCTGCAGCCACGCGCAGCCCGCACCGAGCCGCGCGCAGCTCACTGCAGCCGCGCGCAGCCTGCACCGAGCCGCGCACAGCCCGCTGCAGCCGCGCGCAGCTCGCAGCTGCCGCGCGCAGCCCGCGCCGAGCCCACGCAGCCCGCGTCGAGCCGCGCGCGGCCTGCTACGGCCTCGCGAGGCCCGCGCGCGGCCCGCAGCAGCCCGCGCCGAGCCGCGCGCGGCCTGCTACTGCCTCGCACGGCCCGCGCGCGGCCCGCAACAGCCCGCGCCGAGCCGCGCGCGGCCCGCTACTACCTAGTGCGGCCGCGCGCGACCTGCAGCAGCTCCGGGCGCTGTCCGCGCAGCCCGCGCCGAGCCGCGCGCGGCCCTCTGCCTCGGCCTCGACCTGCCGCTGATGCGGCCCCGCCCTGCAGCTGCCGCGGCCCCGACCTGCCGCTGATGCGGCCCCGCCCTGCAGCTGCCACGGCCCCGACCTGCCGCTGACGCGGCCCCGCCCTGCAGCTGCCACGGCCCCGACCTGCCGCTGATGCGGCCCCGCCCTGCAGCTGCCACGGCCCCGACCTGCTACTGCCGCTGAAGCGGCCCCGCCCTGCAGCTGCTTCGGCCCTGCTCTGCAGCCGGTGTTGCGGCCCCGACGTCGCCGCTATCGAGCGCCGGCCCTGCTCGCCCGGTGAGCGCCTGCTCTCCCAGCCTTTGGTGAGCGACTGCCTGCCTGCCTGACGGCCTGCCTGCCTGCCTGCCTGCCTGCCTGCCTGCCTGCCTGCCTGCTGGCCTGCCTGCCTGCCTGCCTGCGCGCCTGCCTGCCTGCCTGCTGGCCTGCCTGCCTGCCTGCCGGCCTGCCTGTCTGTCTGCCTGCCTGTCTGCTTGCCTGCCTGCCTGCCTGCCTGCCTGCTTGCCTGCCTGCCTGCCACGCCTGGTCAGATGCAGCTCCAGCGACGTTCACGCGAGCCTCTCACGCCCCAGCAGCTTAGTGAGTGGTATACTAGCTGGGGTTGTCGCGGTAGCCTTAGTAGCTGTCGCCCTGGAGCTGGTCAGTTGGGAGCGTCTAGCAGTGGCCAGCTGCAGCTGCAGGGGCGTCCACGCGAGACACTTACGCCTCGGCAGCTCCAGGAGTGGTACGCTCAGTGTAGCAGGTCTACACGTACAGTTCGCTGCCCGTACGTCATTCGCACAGGTGCTAGGACTGGTCAGCCTTGTGGGACGCTTGGTCACACACAGTCCCGCTGCTTCGCCCGTCTGAGCGACGACTGGCGCACAGTGTTTGGCGACGAGGCTGAGCTCCCCACCTGGCTGGAGCTGCATGGACAGGGGGTAGATATCTTTGCTCTTGACTATGATGCTATCCTCACTGCCATGTATGCATTGTCTACTAGTGCTGACCGTGCCTGTTGCCTGTGCGTACCGCCTGACCCTGGTGAGGCTGCTGCTCTAGGTGCTAGTGCGTCTCCTGCTCTAGGTGCTGGTGAGGCTGCTGCTCTCGGTGCTAGTACGTCTACTGCTCTAGGTACGGGTGAGGCCGTGGCTTCAGGTGCTGCCGTGTCTGCTCTCTCTGGTACTGCGCCCACTGCGGTCTCACACACCTTCACCCTTGACTCAGGAGCTTCCCGCTCCTTCTTTCGCGACTGCACCGCACTCACGCCGCTCCGTCGGCCAGTCCCGGTCTCCCTGGCGGACCCCTCTGGGGGTCCAGTCCTTGCCCACTATTCCACGGTTCTGCCGTGTCCGGCCGTCCCGTCCGGCTCGCTGTCAGGTCTTTACCTCCCCTCGTTCTCTACGAACTTGGTGAGTGGAGCTGACCTCCAGGATGGGGGGGTTCACCAGTTCACTCCTGCGAGTCAGCGAGTGACTCACTGTACGTGTGCTAGGACGGGCCGGCACTTGGCCACGTTCACCCGTGCACCTGGCTCGAGTCTGTACACACTGACCACTGAGTCCCCTCATGTAGCTGCGTCTGCGTCTGCGTCTGGTCAGCTGGCGGCCCCCTGCGAGTGTCGCGCTTTGTCGCACGACACTCTCCTGAGGCACCACCGCCTTGGTCACCCCTCCTTGCCTCGCCTACGTAGCATGCACTCTCGCTCCCTGGTCTCTGGTCTCCCCAGGTCTCTGCCTGCCCTCCCTCCCTCGCCTGCGCCGCCCTGCATTCCTTGCGTCGAGGGGCGGCAACGCGCTGCTCCTCACTCCTCCTCGTTTCCTCCCACAGAGGCTCCACTGCAGACGCTCCACCTGGACGTGTGGGGCCCAGCCCGCGTCCAGGGACAGGGCCGCGAGCGGTACTTCCTGCTGGTCGTCGACGACTACACGCGTTACACCATGGTCTTCCCCTTGCGGAGCAAGGCGGATGTCCCTACTGTTTTGATCCCCTGGATCCGCGCTGTTCGTCTCCAGCTCCGCGAGCGGTTCCGGTCGGACTTTCCTGTCCTGCGTCTGCACTCTGACAGAGGTGGTGAGTTCTCCTCCGACCTCTTGGCAGCCTACTGTGCGGAGCACGGCATCACCCAGTCGTTCACGCTTCCGGCCTCTCCGCAGCAGAATGGGGTTGCTGAGCGCCGCATTGGCTTAGTCATGGAGGTCGCTCGTACCTCCATGATCCATGCGGCT